TCACATGTTTTTCCTCTGGGATCTCATTAACCTTAATCCTCTGGAGTCTCCTTAAGAGCTCTTTGTGACCCCTTTGCAGTGAAAGGTGCAAAGGAGCTAAGCAGAACTAAGAATTTGGCTGATTATTTAAAAATAAAGGACAAATTCCTCTGTGTGGGTGCACAGAACTAAGATGTGGGGATCCTATATAGAGGATTACTCTCCCTGCCTAGCATACAGCCAGCTCTATGAGGGTTCCCTCCACATTCCTGTGCAGAGCAGGAGCCAGCTGGGAAGGAGTGAGGCTGAGCCAGTAGACTCATCCTATGCTGAGCCTTCCTGAACTACATCAAATTTGGCTTGGGGCAAGCAGTGGATTTGGCCTGATCAGATGAATAATGTCATCTGAATGTTCAGAGCATTGCTCACAACTCCCTATACATCAAGATTAGTATTTGTAGAAGCCTCTAATTTTTTTAGTCTGGAGAGCTGTTGTTCTCTCACTGCTGGGACAAAAATACCGTCTTGAACTTTTTTTTTAAATAAAAAGTTATGTCAGTGACATCTCCAGCCAGCAAGCTGGAAAGGCTTCCCTCCAGGTTCCCACCCATGGAACACAGGGAAGAAATGTCAGTTGGCATCAGACTAACCAGGCTCCTGCCAGGAACATTGGGCTCCCCACCCTGGAACGCAGTGAAGACAACAGCAGCCGACTTCATCTCTTCAGAAAGCAGTTAATCTCCAGTGAGGCTTCACCTGAGGACTGGTTAATTTCCAAGGGATGGTTGGTCAGTAGTTGTAAGAAGAGGAAGGAGAACTCCCTGCAGCTTGGAGATGAGATAAGCCTGGGACTCATGTTTACATATCTAGTCCAGCCACACATCTCCCCCAGCCTGTATGAGGTTTCTCCATAAATGCCATTTATAGGTTATTCCCTCTGGTTATGAAAGGGCAGAAGAGCTCCAGCTTGAAGTGGGAGGTCAGACCAGCATCAAGCACTTCTTTGCAGAGAAGCAGGGCCACCAGCAGGGGAGAGATGGACGTGGAGACCACGCCAGCCCACTTGCTCAATCAGTGAAGACTAAGGATTCATCTTCAGAAACTACTGAGGGCAGGAGCTCTTTTTGCAGAGGGGGAGGCGTAAAAGGATGAGTGAGATGCACGGGATGAATAAATAATTCCTAGGTGCCTTAGCACATAGTGCTGGGAACAAGGAGAGGGTATCAGAATGCCTGGTTGAAAAGGAACCCTGGTGGCTCTAGTTGCATTGCTGACAGGTCCATTAGAAGGCTGATTGGTGGTACAGGGGGGCTGAGACAGGCTCCCTTCCTGTCTTCACTCTGCACAGCTCCTGGAAGCAGCTGTGGATTCAGAGGGGTGCAGGCTCTGGTCTTGGGCTGAAGGGTTTAGCATGTTGGAGGGGCTCCAGGATTAGGCGGGGGAGGGAGTTGTGGCACAGGAGCAAGTTCAGGATACAGGCTCTGGGTGGAGTTTGGATGCAGAAGGGGCTAAGGGGTATTTAGGACATGGACTCTGGCTGAGCACCACTTACCACAGGTGGCTCCCAGCTGATAGCACAGTGAGACTGAGGCAGGTTCACTCCTGCCCTGGCCCCACACCACTCCTGAAAGTGGCTGGCATGTCCAGCAGCAGCTCCAGGAGAGAGGGCCAGGTGGCTTCACATGCTGTCCCCATCTGCAAGCACGACCTCCACACCCCCTGTTCCTGGCCAAAGGCAGCTGCAGGAGCAGTGCCTGCAGGCAAGGCAGAGTGTGGAGACCTCCTGTTCTGCCTCCCACAGGGGCCACAGGGACGTGCCAGCTACAAGACTCTGTGTTAACCCCGATGCAGTGCCAGACTGTTAGTGGCAAATCTTATTTGGTTGCAAGAGTCTCCAGGAATTTGAGCCCAAATTCCAGGAGATTCCCAGCCTGTGTTCTGCACACGAATGGAAAAAATTAGAGGGAATGAATTTTGTTATGTGCACCAATATGGGGGTAATGAGCAGATGTGCACCACCAGTAGAAACCAAGTTTTTATATATATATATATATATGTAAAATTACCACAGGGATAATTACTCCAGCCAATACCAGGTAGGCATTTTAGAACTCACTACTCAAAGAATTAAATTTAAGCATAGAGAGAAATAAAAATTATGAAATGCACTGACCAATCAAAAACCTGAAATAACACACTTTGAAAGAAGTAAAAGCAGTAACTACAACAATATAAGTATGTTTTGTGTCAGGAGCTGAGTGGGAAAGACAGAGTATGCATATGGGAGAGTGACAGAGACACACAGCAAATTAGAATGATAGTGATTCACATTGCCCCTTAAAGTATGCTGAGCACATTTAGACGTAGGAGCAGTTGCCAGTGAGCTCCCTCCATCTTGAGCCCTGTCATGTCCCCTCCTCTCTGGAGATGGGGTGCAGGTGTTGGGAGGAGAGAGACACCTTGACATCAGCATCCCCATATTTTACCTTTACACTCAGGTTGTGTCTACATTGGCACCCTTTTCCGGAAAAGGGATGCTAATGAGACAAGTTGGAATTGCAAATGCCGCGGGGGATTTAAATATCCCCGCGGCATTTGCATGAACATGGCTGCCGCTTTTTTCCAGCTCGGGGCTTTGC